GGAGTCCATTCTGACCCACAGCGCCCCTAGAGGACAGAGTGGAACTGCCCACAGGGTCTCCAAGGCTGTCAATCTTCACAGAAGCAAAGCCCAAACCAAACCCACTGGTGGAATTCATTCCGACCCACAGTGCCCCTAGAGGACAGAGTGGAACTGCACCACAGGGTTTCCAAGGCTGTTGGTCTTCTCGGAAGCTGACTGCCTCATCTTTCTCCCTCAGAGTGGCTCATTGTGCTGCATTTTTGGTTAGCAGCTGAGCACTTTAACTGCTGTGCTACCAGGGCTCCTTAAAACATACTTAGCTCTAAAAATAAAATAAAATAATAAAACACTATGGAACACAGTTCTGCTCTGATACACTTGTCTCCAAAAAAAAGACCCTTAGCTCTTACTTGTTCTCTGGTGAAGGGAATTCTGTTCATATGGGTCTGAGTTGGTCCCTTACCACAGCAGAAGTTCACATGGCATGAATGGGCCACTAGTGTTTGAGGACTGCTAAGTAGCTGGATAACCAGGCAGTTGGATATAGTGAGCTGAAGAGTGATGACCACATGCAGGAAGTCAAGAATGTTCTGAAAAGGAAGAGGATGAACCTAAATATTCAACAGGAACTGTCTAAATACATGATGGTGTGTTCCTAGAGTGGAATATTCTGGAACCTAGCACCTCACTCTAAAAACGAGCCTACAGCTATTGATCAAAGGACAGACCTTATGTATAGTATCATATGGAAACTTCTGTTGTTTTTGTATGTTTTTGATTTTCTTCTCTTTATTTTCTGTCTTTCTCTTCTGGAACTCCTGTTGTTGTTGTTGTTGTTAGGTGCCGCTGAGTCAGACCCAACTCATAGCGACCCCTCTTTGGGTTTCCAAGGCAGTATCACTACGGAAGTAGATTGCCCAACCTTCCTTTCAAGGAGTGGCTGGTGGGTTTGAACTGCCAGCCTTCTGGTTAGCAGTCAAGTGCCTTAGGCACTACGCCACCAGGGCTCCCTCTGGAACTCCTGCTAGGTTGACTTTGGCACTTCTGGATTTGTTCATCTTCCATGTTTCTTATTTTTTCTCATATTTTCCATCTATCTATTTCCATTTTCTATTTCACATATTTGCTAAACTTGGTTCTCGAAGCCAGGAGTCTTCAGCTGTGTCTGTGATGTTATTTGGTGCCTCTTACTAATTTGGTGTAGCAGTCATTTGTGTGTTTTAAGTGCTCTTTCCTCCGTTTTCGTTATCTCATAGATGCAGTGCTATCTCGAGAGGCTCTGAAGACACTAACTGGAGTGTTAGAGAAGCCGTCTTCCATTCCCTAAGTGGTCTTTGTTTTCTCAGTCCTCATTGTTCTGGGTGTTGGTCTTGGTCATTTTCTTTTGTGCTGTTGGTTTTCTGTAGATGTCTGGAGACAGCTGATTGGTTGACTGCAGTTATGAGCCAGGTTGCATGGATGTTAGCTTGTCTGGCATGTGTCCCTTCAGCTGTGAGGATCTGTGTCTACACCAGCTCTCTCTCGTGTTGGGAAAACTGATTGGGGCACTGAGTATGTGGGCAGAATATGTGGGTGGCAGGCTTCTCAGTTCAACAGGCAGACTGGGACCTCCCTCAAACCAATGTCAAGATTTTGACTCTATAGACGGAATGTGTAGTATATTTATCTAGGCTAAGATGTTCAGTCTTTTTTTTTTTTTTTTCCCTTCTTTGTCTCTTGTGAGCACTAGAATTTCTCTTACTCTGCCCAGCTTCATGGTTAGGGACCAGAATCACAGTAGGTCCCTCTCAGGAAGGAGCTCATCTTCCTCAGGGAGTAGTTCTCTGAGTTACCCTGGCTGGAGCTGTGGTGGCTGCTAGCACCTCTGTGTTGGCCTGGGTGTGGCAGTTAGAAAGGAAGGCTGGGTGGCAGTTGACCCAGCTCTTTGGCAGACACTCCTGTAGTTACTTTTAGGGATTACGGAGCTGGAGCTCACTTTTGTCTTAGTTCCTACTGATTTCTGCCACAGAGACTCTCTGGGGCCGCCTTGGAACCACGGCTTCCAGTCTGCTACAGTCTTAGCCAGTGTATGTTTTGGGTTTTGGTTCCTTTCCAAAAACCAAACTCACAGCCATGGAGTTGGATCCAACTCATAGCAGCCCTTCCTTGGGTTTCCAAGGCAATATCACTACGGAAGTAGATTGTCCAGTCTTCCTTCTGAGGAGCGGCTGGTGGGTTTGAACCGCCAGCCTTCTGGTGAGCAGGCAAATACCTTATCCCTGGTTTCAGTTCATTCTTACTGCTATTGATTTATTCACTTTGGTCCAGAAATAACACTAAGTTATTTCTGTGGAAGAGAGACGGGGTGGGTGGGGGGGACTGTATGTGTTTAATTCATCCCTTAACGTGAAAAACGTTGTCAGTCATTGATTTGCGTGAAGAGAAGGGCAATATACCAAATGGGAGTGACCAACATGGTGGCATTGAGGAAGGGAAAGACATAGAGAGGTACAGACAACAAAGATGAACCCTTTTGCACATACAGTACCGCGTTGTCAGTGAAGGCAAACATTGATATATGGGTGGATAGATGGGAGGTTAGGCTGAACTATTAGGTATGTCTGAAATGGGGAGCGTATCCAAGACCATGTATAGGGTTGGCAGACAATGGTCCTATAAGTTTACGTGAATGATCAGAATTCCCAGGTATGTAGTAGAGCTGACAAGGGGCAAGGTTGTAGTCACTGCTTGGTCACAGCCAGGTACCTAGAGGGACCGAGTAGTTGAACCTGTGGGCTTGGGACCATAGTTGCAGGGGACATCAAGCTCAATTGGCATAACATACTATATAAAACACTGTTCCACCTCCTACTTTGGTGAGTAGCAACTGGGATCTTAAAAGCTGCCATCTAGAAGCAACGATGGGTCTCTCCTTGTCTAGAGCAACGAAGAATGAAGAAAACCAAAATTCATGGAAACAATTAGTCCTAGCCACTGGTATACCATCCGATCTGCAGCCTATATGACTATGAGACCTGAAGAACTAGATGGTGCCCGGCTACCACTGTCATCCACATGGAAGGGGCTCTATCTAGGAGATCCTTGATAGAGAGGGAGAACAATGTGGAACAAAACTCAAAATCATTTGGAGAATTAAAAAAACGGGGGGGGCGGGGACCAGGTTTGCTGGTCCGATAGAGTCTGGTGGAACCACTGAGACTATGGCCTCTAGCTGCCCTTCAGGTCTGGAATTGAACCCACACCTGTGGCTTGCAGCCAAACAAAAGACAGGCATAGGAGTTGAACAGTTACCTGAGGTAGATACACTCCTTGGAGAGAACAATCATGGGAGAAAGAAGGGCTGCTTATGCGCAGGGAGACAGCTCATGGGGCAGGAATGTATGGAGGGATGGACACTGGGAAGAGGTAAGTATGGGGAGGAAGTGGGAGGGGAGCTGTTGCATTGTGGGAAATTATAGTCAATGTTATGAGACAAAGTGTATGTAAACTGCTGTATGGAAAGTGAATTTGCTCTGTAAATCTTCACCCAAATCACAATTAAAAAAGAAAAAGAAAAACCTTGTTGATCAATTTAAAATGGTGGAAAAGGGAACCAAGGAACAGAGCTAGTTACTCGTCCTTTTAAGCTTGACTTCTTTGAAAACAAATCAATGGTAGAGAAACTGTGAGGGAGAAATAACAGGCGGGCTTTTAGCAGAACGGTTTAATTCCTTTTCCACGCTGAGGCTGACTGTCGTCTTTCAGATCCTGAATGTCACTGTGGGGCCTTCGAGGACGGCCCCCCGGCGGGGCCCTGTGAATATCGTCTTTACCGTCAGGAACTCGCAGGGGTTTCTCAACGGCTCGGAAGTCAGTGAGCTGCTCCGGAACTTGAGCGTGGTGGAGTTCAGCTTCTACCTGGGCTACCCCGTGCTGCAGATCGCCGAGCGTGAGTACCGCACGGCCCTCCGTGTGGCCGGCCACGGTCCACCCCCGGCTTTTCTAGGGGCACTCTTGTTGTGAGGTGCCGTCGAGTCAGCTCCAACTCATAGTGACCCAATGTACAACAGAACAAGCACCCTTAAAGTGTGCCAGAAACAGCAACAACAAAACCCTTCACTGGTTTTAGAAAAGATGAACCTGCAGCAATGGAGAACTGATCTGCGATTGCCGGGGATCAAGGGTGGGAGGGGTGTTTGGCTGCAGGAGGGCAGCAGAAGGGAGCTTTTGGGACGTGACGAAACTGTTCTGTCTCATGACTGTGTGGGAGTGACACAACTCCGTGTTCGTCAGAACCTATAAAATCGCATGCCAGCAAGAGTGTGGCAAATTTGAAAGTAAAGCAAACAGACAATAAAAACACACAAGTCTTGGCTTCCCGCTACAGCCGTGAAATTCATAGAGCAAGTGGCAGGGAGGTGGTAGGGGTGGGGGCTGGCCATTCACTGAAGAAATAGTGGGTTCCAGTGATTTGGTCATAAAAAGGAAGGCAGTAGAGGGATGTACTACAACGTGGACTAACACTGAGAACACGATATTGAGAGAAAGAGGCTGGAGTCACAAAGACATTTATTACAACATTTCTAGGCAAATCTGTTGGCACAGGAAGTACATTCATGGTTGGCGGGGGCTGGGAGTGGGACTGGGGGACACAGACAGTGACTGCTAATGGGCTGTGTTGTGTGGGTGTGTGCAAACCAATGTTCTAGAATTGATCGTGGTGATGGTTGCACAACTTTGTGCATGTACTAAAAACCACGGAAGGGTACGTTTTAGGTGAGTTTTGTGGCACGTGGATTACATCTGAGTAAACTGTTAAAAAGAACAAGCTGAAGGCGGTCCAAATGCCTCAGAGTCTTCATCAGGATGGAACCGCCAGATGGCCCAATGATTCTTACCATGTGCTGATAATTCAGTTAGAGAGAATAACTCGTAACAAACGAGAAGGCTATCAAAACATACAGAAGTGAGCTGTAACATGCAAAAATAAACAGGGATAAGAGTGTGGTTTACAAAAAGCTGCTTTTAGCGATGTACAGAACACGCACAGCTAACATACTAACAACAGCAATAGCAACGGGGGGGGGCTGGGACAGCAGGTGTAGACCGGGAGTCTCCCCGCCCAGCAGGACAAACAGACCCTGAGTCAGCACAGGAGACTGAGCGTCCTCAGAACACAGTGACTCACTGCTCTGAAACAAGGACGTTAGAAAATGACACTGGAGGGGGAATGATGGCTGATGGCGGTGAGAAGCCGCGTGTCTGGGAGGTGGTGTGAGTAGGCCTTTCTTCTCTTGCCTCTTTCTCCTCGAGACTTGTGGGCTCAGAAACTGCTCATTGCCCATGTCCTCATGTCTGTCCGGCATTTTGTGCTTCCCTGTTGATGGAGAGGCAATGTTACCGCTTACCTGGAACAGCTCCCTTCTGACCGTTGCAAACGTCCTTTTTACGGACTCTCCTCCTTCCCCGCCCCTCTCCTGCAGCCTTCCAGTACCCCCAGCTCAACTTGTCTCAGCTGCTGGAGTCTTCCTGGGTCAGAACAGGTACGTGAACTCACAGCATGTTTGGGGAACTATGGGTAACGGAGTCTGAGCAGGGGATTGAGCCGATGCCCTTCCTGTTTCTAAATTCAGGGCAACATGTACCTGGGATTCTTGGCAAAGAACGGCAGGAAGGGGTGGAAGGCTGGCTGTGGGGACCTGTCCCGCTGGGCTATGACACGAAAAGACTGGCTTTCGTTTCAGATGCCAACACCAAGAGCAGGGCAGAGGCTGGCGGCAGCCTGCCATCTCCTGACCCAGAATAGTCTCAAGTTCAGAAGCGAGGACCTTTTTTTTTCCTCAAATTGCTGTTGGTTTGGTTTTAGAAGGACCAGTGAAGCACTCGGCGAGCAAAGGAGCCTTTTCCCAGGAGGCCCAGCTGGGATGTTCCGAGTAGTGGCATTTCAGAGGAAGGTTTTCTAGACTGAAATAAAAATGGATGAGACTATTGCACTGTTCCCGGTGGCCCAGTGGGTACACAGAGCAGCAGTGGTGTGGGGGCCGTGCTCATGGGACAGTGATGGACACAGCTCACAGTTAAGTTCATGCTTAACGTACAACGTCCCCGTCAAGTTCCTGCAAGTGTGTTGGCCTCACTTCTGGGTACTTTTCCTAGCAGTCATTGTACCAATACCGGAGACAGGGCCTCTTTCCTCTGGTTTGTTATTAGTCCAAGTCTGCGGTCAAGATGAGGTGTGAACTCGCACTCCTGCCCGAGTCTTGAGAGAAGTGCAGACGAAGTAACCGAGCTTGGGTAGGAAGTCCCGCCGCAAAGCTTCTGCGGTTCTGGGTCTCTGGCCGCCAGCGGGTAAGGCTCGGAGCTGGAGGTGCAGATGAGACCCGGGCAGTGCCTTCTGGGCTCTCCCGCAGGCTGGTCCCTTTCGGATGTCTCCTGGCTGGGCGTCAGCGTTGTGGAGTGATGCTCGATGGAGCTCTCTTCCACATGCACACACACCCATTCACATTTACACACATACGTGCACACGTTCCCATCCATGCACACACACACACTTCCACATGTACACACACATGTTCCCACACACGCACGTGCACATCCGTACATGCACATGTGCCCTCACACATGCACACATGTGTAATGCCCCACATGTACACACATGTGCATGTATACACACGCACACACACACATGTGCACACACACACTCATGCATGTTCACGCGCCTCTTCTCCACCGCTGGCTAACTTGCTGTGCGGTCCGTGTGTCCTCTGCTCTAAACGCAGTCCTCCTGGGTGTCTTCGAGAGGCAGCTGCAGAATGAAGTCTTCCAAGCGGAGATGGAACGCAAGCTGGCCCAGCTGCTCGGCGAGGTTCTCTCGAGGAGGCGGATGTGGAGACGGGCCACCGTGGCCGTGGGGAGCAGTGTGGTGCAGGTGCGCCAGGGAGGGGGCAGGGGCAGAGAGCACGCCTGAGACCCGGCTGCACGGCCCGCGACTAGGGGGCGCTGGAGAGAGTCCAGTTGGAGGGCTGCTCTCTTAGGGAGCTACCGGTGTGGCAACTTTAGTTCAGCGAGAGTCCAGGCAGGTGTTTACCGAGTCCTTAGTGAGCGGTGGGCATGCAGCAGACCTGGGGCACAGACGTAGAGTCCTTACTGAGTTGCCGCACTATCAGATGACCTTAATCTTTCTTAAGAACAGTGTTTTTTAGTGACCAGACATGCATTCTGCTCTCTGGAATGCTGAGGATTCCTGGTCACATCGTAGACATAGACCACTGAGCTGGAAGGGGCCTAAGGATCCAGGGAGAGCCGGTTCCTTCCTGTGTCCCGGCCGGCCTCCTCCTCCTCCCATTCCACCGGGTGTCTGTCTCCTCCTGCCCCAGATCCTCACTGTGAGAAGCTGGCAGGAAGGGGACAAAATCAAGATGAGTTTGAATTGAAAAGTGACCTACTTTTACAATGCAGACACTCAGAGAGGGTCGGGCTGTTCTTGATTTCCATCTCAACATGAATGATACTATTTTTGACTGTTTCCTTTAGCAACGCTGATTGGAGAGAGAGGGGTCAGGGATCCCTAGAGCTGGGGCGCTTCAGAGGTGGAAACCAGGGTGCCGTCCTGACTTGAGGAGTGGGGAGTCAGGGCCCCAGGTCCGTCTTCTGTCTTCCAGGTGGTGAACGTGTCCAGGCTGGAGGGAGACGACCACCCCGTGCAGCTAATCTACTTTGTGGAGGATCGAGACGGAGAGAGACTCAGTGCGGCCAAGTCCTCAGACCTGATCAACAGGATGGACGTCCAGAGAGCCGCCATCATCCTGGGTTATCGGATCCAGGGCGCCATTGCCCAGCGTAAGTCCACCAGGCCCGGCCTCTGTGCAGTCTTCCGCGCTGTGGCGGGGTCAGCGGCCACCCTTTTCTGACCGGGAGCTCTCAATTTAGAGTATCTTGATGTGCGCTTAGGAGATTTAAGATCTTCGACCTATGAAATCAAACGCCCAGACCGTCTTTATTGTGGATTTCAGTTGCTTGTTGCTGTGGTCTTCACTGCTGTCTTTCCAGCTGGCATTTTGTGTTCACACAACAGCAGTGTTGGAGTTCTAGATGGCGGTCCCTGGGGGGAGCTGTGAAACCAGCCCTACCCTCTGTTTCTGTTTAGAATACCTGGGGAGTGAAAATGAACGTGCTTGACTGCTAATCAGAAGGCTGTAGACTCAAGTCCACGCTGGGGCCCCTCAGAAGAAAGGCCTGGTGATTGGTTTCCAAAAACCAGCCGTTGAAAACCCCATGGAGCCCAGTTCCACTCTGACCCACGGGCTCATCACCAGGAGTGACTGACAGGGCTGACTCACCAGCCACTGTTTTCTTTTTAAGTAACTTTGGTCTTTTTCCCTTACTCCTGTTCTACTTCTGTGTTTAATATTTGTTTGCTCTGTATTTATTCCAAAATCTTGTGTGTCCTGTTTTGAACGTCGGTGGACAGTGAGTCAAGCAGGAAACAGGGCGGCGCCCTCTGGGTTTACTGGCCCCTCCAAGGTCTTTGAACACAAAAAGCCCTTGGTGGCAGCCTTTCCATCCTCTCTCTCCAACCCTGTCCTCCCACCGCTCCACCATTTACAAAGAGGTGTCTGATATTTCTTTATTGTCATTGGAAGGTACTTGACCTCAGTCCTGCGTCCAGCGTTTCCTTACGGCGCCTTCTTCTCTGACTCACAGATTTGGGGTGTTCAGAATTAAGAAATGGGAGAGGCAGAGAAGAGGGTGGTTCTGTAAATATGCCTTTACGAGTCAGGCTGCTATTTTTAAACAAAAAAATACTTATTTTTTGTGGCAGTTCACACAGCAAACCTATAGCCGTTCCCAATTTGACACGAACACTTCGGTGATGTTAGTTACCTCCTTCCCAACACGGTCTCTCCCTGTATTGCTTCCTCTCCGGGATTCAGGCTCTCTGCCCCTGAACGTTCTTGGCTGTGCTTTGTCAGTTTACGCTACTGTAGATGGTTCTTTGTGAGAGCTCGCTGCTCAAGGGGAACGTTCTGTGTGACGGGGCTAAACTTGTTTAGCTTCACGGCATAGTTTGGGTTTTGGTTTAAAGCTTACTGTGGGCATTAGATTCAGGGTCTCCCCCAGTCTGCGTGGGTCCTGTGAGTCTAGTTTCCACACCTGTGTGACGTTCTGGTTCCTGGTTTTCCTGCTTTTGATCAGGATCCATCGGTTGGGTCAGACTGCCACTGCACTGGAAGTGTGTTCTTCTCAGCGATTCGGGGAGCTGCCCTGGTACAGAGCACAGTGACACCTGGTCCCCGTGGGTGAGAGAAGTCAGGGTTTGGAGGGAACTCAGCATCTGAAACGTTGAGGAAACTGCACACACAGCACGTAGGCGACAAAGGCAGTTTTCAGAAATGTCAGTGAGGAGTTACCGTTGGTTGTGGAAGGCTCCTTGTGAAGCCTTTACCTGTCCCTTGAAACCAACTGGGATGAGGGCTGGTGGCCACACTTGTCTGATATGTGGATGACTGGGGTTGTTGTTGTTGTTGTTACGTGACTCATGGCGACCTTATGCACAATAGACTGAGACGCTGCCCGGTCCTGGGCCAGCCTCACGATCCCTCCTGTACCGGACTCTGAGGAGGGTTTTCAGTGCCTTCAGACCCGAGGGGCTCATCGTCCAGCATGATGTCGCCCAGTGTTTCATAGCTGCTCGTAAGGTTTTCACTGGCCAGTTCTGTGAGAAGTGGATGGCTGCCTCCTTCTTCCAAGTCTGGATGAATGACGGGACTTTAAGCAGAGACCCTTGATGGTGTGTGTTCATGTATCTGCGCTGTGACGCATCTAACAGTTCCACAGCAGTGAGAAGAGGTAACGAGAGCCCCTGTTGACATTTCCACAGAGGTGACATCTCGGAGGAGAGGAGAGGTACCCACATGAGTCAAGCACTTCATTGTTTGGGTGCCGTCAGTCACTTTTGACTCCTAGCACAACTGCCCCACAGGGTTTTCTTGGCTGTAATCTGTAGGGGGGCAGATTGCTGGGTCTTTGCTCCCACGGAGCCACCGAGTGGGTTCATGTCACCAACCTTCTGTTAGCAGCTGAGCACTAAAATGTTACGCACTTGGCCTTGTTCAGTAAAAAGATGGATTGCACGTGACGGTGTAATCTACTGAATCATCCACTTCAAAATACTTCAAGTGGTGAGTGTTTTATTATGGTATTTTACTACAGTTAAAAATACAAAGACTGACTGCACGGGGATGTGGTCGCCTCCTCATTTTACTTCCATCTGCTTTTGCTCCCGCCCTCCCCCGTCCTGGGATCAGGTGACAACCCCAGGAACAGCAGCCCAGGGGTCCAGGGGTGTCGAGGTAGGAAGCTCGGCTGAGACCAGACCAGTCTAGGAGCAGCCTCTGGGCACTGGGTCAGGGCCTCTTCTGGGAGCCTCTGGGTGGCACCAATGCTTAAACTGCTGATTGAAAGGTTGGCGGTTCCAACCCCCTCAGGCACCTCGGGAGACAGGCCTGGTGGCCTGCCTCGGAAGGGCCACAGCCTTTAGCGCCCTGCGCTGCTGTCGTGTGTCATCGGGTCACTTCTGACTCCAGCGTCCCCGTGGGTCCGAGCAGAGCTGCCCCACGGTTTCCCAGGCTGTGGTCCTCCCCAGGGCCCATCACAGGTCTCGTCTCCCCAAGTCGGCGGTGGGTACGGCCCTCTGCCTTTCGGTCAGGAGCTTAACCCCTGTGCCTCCAGGGCTCCTTCTGGAAACCCTCTGCAGCAGTTCTACTCTGCACACACGGGGTCTCCAGGAGTGGAGCCCACTTGGCAGCACCAACAGGACACCACTCTGAGCATTTCCCCGTCACGTGTGCCTCTCCTGGTGCGTTTGCTCCAGTGCACCGGCACCCCCTCGTCACGTCTCAGGGGCCCAAACCTGAACTTAAACCAGCCATGGTTTCCCCTTTGAGCACACGACTCCCTCGCAGGTGGTTCCCTCCTAGGAGATGAGTGTACAACCATCCCTGCCCACGGAGATTCAGATGATCTTGACGAGACAGGACTCAGGGTCGTGACTGTTCTCATGAAGAAGGGTACAGGGCTTGTTGAGATGGTAAATTTATGTAAGAAAATGCATTTTAAAAGAACGGGGTGCCATTGGCAAGGCAAAGACAGCACGCAAGGAGTTAGAAGAGGGAGCCGTTGATACATCTGGGAGAAGCTGTCACAGAGGGGCCTTAAAGAATGGGGGGCATTTTGCTTTAAGGAACTTTGTGCCTGGAGCCTTGGACGTAGGGGTACTGGGCCCCGTGACAGATGGGCACAGCTGGTGAAGGAGTTCAGCAGGACGAAGAATCAAAGGAAGGGTGATCATCCAGGACTGTGAAGGTGGAGGGGCTGAGGGTTCAGCATGGGCAACAGTGGCCGTCATATGATTTGGAAATTGTGAGAGACCAGTTGTCCCGAGTAGAGATGACAGGGACTTTGTACAGAAAGGCAGTTTGGTAAATGGGTTAAGAAGGAATTGTCAACATCAAGCTGAGTGAAGTGAGTCAGACAAAGAAGGCAGACACCGTGTGCTCCCACTTGTCTGCGATATTGAGGAGGGACAAGTGCGTGGAGACCCAGAGGTGGGTGGGAGAGGCTGACGAGGTTCTGAGTTTGGGAACAGAGGGTGGTAGTGGTACAGCATTGTGAATGTAATTAGTGTCACTGAATCGAACATGTGAAAATGGGTGAAAACGCAAATGTCTCGTTATATGCATTTTACCACAATATGAAAAAAGATGAGAACACCATCCAACGACTTCATAGCAATATGTTTGTAAGTGTGCAAGTGACCACCGTCCTAAAAAATGAAAGTGTAAAGAGTGGACTCACATGGAAGTTGCCTGAGTACTCCTTCCCAGTGGCGCTTGGTGAATGTTTGCTGACTGCTGTTTTGATAAGGTCTTCTGGATGTCTTTTCTTCCTTGTCTGCAGCCGTGGACTGGGTGAAGAGGCCGTCCCCAGAGACGCAGACCAGCAACCTCTGGGTCACCGTGGGCGTGGTCATCCCGGTGCTGGTGGTCATGGTGATCGTGGTGATCCTCTACTGGAAGGTGTGCCGCACAGACAAGCTGGACTTCCAGCCTGACACTGTGGCCAACATCCAGCAGCGCCAGAAGGTAAGAGCGGACACACCAGTGTCACGGGTGTGACTGGCGGGACAGGGTGAGGACAGGGCGGAGGGCGTGGAGGAAATCTTTCGCCTTTAAGGATGACATCCCTTTGCGTTCGTATCTGCTTACTGACACCCAGTCTTCTGCAGCATCACATCTGTTCCAAGAGCAGAACACTGCATAAAAGGTTAGCCATGCCGTGAGTTCTGGGTTCTGCTGCACTTTTACTTTGCAAGGGTCATTTGGGACAGTGTGTCCACCCCATCTCTGTGTGAACTCGGAGAGTGTGTCTAACCTTTCTCTGTGTGAACTTGGAGAGTGTGTCCACGTAGTGTCTGTGTGAACTCGGAGAGTGTGTCCATTCTGTCTCTGTGTGAACTCGGAGAGTGTGTCCACGTAGTGTCTGTGTGAACTCGGAGAGTGTGTCCATCTCATCTCTGTGTGAACTTGGAGAGTGTGTCCATTCTGTTTCTGTGTGAGCCTGGAGAGTATGTACACCCTGTCTCTGTGAACCCAGAGAGTGTGTCCACCTCATCTCTGTGTAAACTCAGAAAATCTGTCCACCCAGTCTCTGTGTGAACTCGGAGACTGTGTCCACCCTGTCTCTGTGTAAACTTGGAGAGTGTGTCCATCCCATCTCTGTGTGGACTTGGAGGGTGTGTTCACCCCGTCTCTGTATGAACTCTGATTTGTTTGTTAAAAAATAAACAGTTCCCGTCAAGTCGACTCCAACTTGTAGTGTCCCTGAGAGTGTCAGAGGAGAAATGTGCTCCACAGAGTTTCCAGTGGCTTTATCCCAAGGTGCATCTAGGTGGACTTGAACCCCCGACCTTTCGGTCGGCACTGGGCACCAGCCTGGGACCCGCTGCTCCCTTTGACATGTAGGTATTTGTAGAGACCAAGCAGCAGGAGGATTTTGCAGATCCGTGCGCCTGTTCCTTCCGTAGCTAACCCCATGAAGCGGCTCCTTTCTGGCCACTGTAGTGGAAGCCCACTTACCCACCTTAATCAAGACCATAATGAAAAAAGTCTGATCAGGTGCAAAGGCATATTAAATGGTAATACATGCCTTAAACGTTTTGTTTTAACTGAAACATGTCGGTGAGAATTCATTTGCAATCTTTCAGTGCACTCCGAATCGTGTGTGTGTGCATGCATGTGTGTGTATGTGTGGGTGCGTGCGTGTGTGTGCATGCATGTGTGTGCGTGCATGTGCGTGCGTGCGTGTGTGTGTCTGTAGACAGGCACTGTGTGTGGTCCTTCTTGTAATAAACAACTAAGCAGCACCCATCAGGCGCCAGCTACAGTTTCCAGTTTTGGTTGTTGGCAACCCGCCCCCCACCGCCTCTGCACTTTGAGGGTGAAATCGCCTTTACCAGGTTTGACAGCACATTTTTCGGCAGCTCACTTTCCAGGAGTCTCTGCAAAGCTGTGAACTTCCTTCTCATAGAAACAGCACTGCCTTTTCACATGTGTGTCTTGACAGCGTGCATGACATTTGATTGTCACATATGGTGTCAGAGCAAAGATGTCAGTCCTTCCTCAGTTTCTGGCTTGGTCGGAGACGAGCTCACGTGCTGCGGGCATTTAGCACAGCACGTCTGTTGGTGTGTGCTGACCAGGCTGCTGGATTTGTCCACATGCACCCTCTCTGGTGGTTTGGGGGCAGACACCTCACCTTCCCTGTGGGGGGCCTGGGTTCAGTGCTGGCCACGTACCTCATGTGCAGCCAACACCTGTCTGTCAGCGGAGGCTGGGGTGTCTCTGGGACACTGCACAAGGGTCAGCGGAGGCTGGAGTGTCTCTGGGATATGGCACAGATGTCATACCTCATGGGCAGCCAACACCCATCTGTCAGCAGAGGCTGGAGTGTCGCTGGGATGCTGACGGGGGTCAGTGGAGCGCCCAGACAAAGAGGACTAGGAAGAAAGGCCTGGCAAACCACTGTCTAAAAACAGCCGCGCCAACCGTGAATGACAGCGGGCCCGTTAGCGACCAGTCACGGGGATGGAGTTTCAGTCCATCGTGCGTGAGGCTGTCACGCGTCGGGCTGACTTGATGGCAGGTGACAACCCTGGATGGGTCTCGAGTTTAGAGGACTCACTTGACTTTGAACATCTGAGTTTATAAAAAGTAGCAAGCAAGAGGCAAACGAACAAGGAAAAAGGATGGCCCTATTAACCTTTTATTAACTTGTGTCTAATTGTCTTTGTGTCAGAAATCGTGTAAGTTATAAACGTGGACCTGCTGAGTGCAAATGGAGTCTAATCCTGGAGGGAGTTATTGGAGGGTGTTACTTGTTGTAGGGATTTACCAAAACAAAGCAAAACCTTGACTGAGTTACAGACATACCGTTAACAAGTCCATCAGAAGCCCTTTACACAATAGCACTATGCCTGTCACCTCAATCCCTTTATTATCCACATGGTCATGGAGACAGTGGAAAGCAGTACTTGGTGGACTGAAGGAGTCACACTGAGAACGTCATTGTGGTGAGAACAACAGTGGGTCTTGAGATGCTTTAGTTCTGGGGAAGGACACCACTTCAGGAGTCGTACTTTGACCTTTTATGTTTCCTGCTTCCCAGATGTTTGTGCCCCACTCCATGGGAGGCCCACCCAGTATCTGTCATGTCGCTGAACGCTCATGGGTCACCAGCTTTCAGGTTCAAAACAAGGTATCCCCTAAGTTTGCACCTTCTCCCATATCTCCTTCCCAAATAGGTTCCTGTCCTCCGCCTAAGAATCCCAGTGCCATGGAGCAGGTCACGACTCCTCGTGTCCGGCATTTAGAGTTTTGTAGGTGGTCTTCTTTACACAGGCAGCTGGCCAGGCTTTCCTTCCTTGGTGCTGCTGTGTAGATCAGAGCTGCCGACCTTTGGGTTAGGAGCTGAGCACACACTCTTTGCAGCACCCAGATGGAAGGCTTTTCATAGCACTCGCAGCCCCTGGGGATCCTCTTCTCCTTCAGGTGCTACCAGGATTTGTGCGTAGGTGTTGATGACATCTTACAGAAAAGGGGTCTGCATGGAGGAGGGCCCTCAGGGGCTCAAGGACTGTGTCCTGAGGCTCCCGGGAGGGTGCCACCCAGGGCTACCTCAGAAGCTAGCTCTTGTGTTGTTGGCAGTAGACACTGAATGGAGCTTGTCATGTCTTCAAGACAGGAAAAGCCTAGTCTTTGCTTAATTGAAAGCTAATTGATAGAAATAACACTGGAGGTCACATGATAGAATTTTGCAAGATCAACGAGTTATTCATTGCAAATACCTTTTTTCAACAACATAAGTGATGGCTGTACCCGTGGACTTCAGCAGATGGAATCCACAGGAAGCAGATTGACTACATCTGTAGCAAGAGGCGATGGAGAAATTCAGTATCTTTAGCCAAAACAAGGGCAGGAGCTGATTGTGGAACAGACCATCAATTGCTCATATGCATGTTCAAGTTGAAGTTGAAGACAATTAAAAGAAGTCCATGAGAGCCAAAACATGACCTTGATAATGTCTCTTCTGATTTTAGAGACCATCTAAAGAATAGATTTGATGCATTAAATACCAATGACCAAAAGCCAGAGGAGTTGTGGGATGACATCAAGAACATCATCCATAAAGAAAGCAAGAGGTCATTAATAAGACAAGAAAGGAAGAAAAGACCAAAATGGATGTCAGAAGAGACTCTGAAATTTACCCTTGAACAGAGTAGCTAAAGCAAATGGAAGAACTGACCAGAGAAAAGAGCTGAACAGAAGTTTTCAAAGGGCAGCTCCAGCAGACAAGCCAATTACTATAATGAAATGTGCAAAGACCTGGAGCTAGAAAACCAAAAGGGAAGGACACACTCGGCATTTCTCAAGCTGAAAGAAATTTGGAAAAAATTTAAGCCTCGAGTTGCAATATTGAAAGATTCTATGGGAAAAATATTGAATGATGCAGTAAAGATCAAAAGAAGATGGAGGGAATACACAGAGTCATTGTACCAAAAGGAACTAGTCGATCTTCATCCATTTCAGGAGGTGGCATATGATCAAGAACCAATGGTAGAAGTCAAAGCTGCACTGAAGGAATTGGTGAAGAACAATGTACCAGGAATTGATGGACTACCCATTGAGATATTTCAACAAACAGATGCCCCATTGGAGGCACTCACTCAGTTATGCCAAGAGATTTGGAAGACAGCTACCTGGCCAACTGACTGGAAGAGATCCATATTTGTACCCATTCCAAAGAAAGGTGATCCCACAAGAATGTGGAAATTATCAAACAATATCATTAACATCACATGCAAGTAAAATCTTGTGAAGATAATTCAAAAACGGTTGCAGCAGTATATTGACAGAGAACTTCCAGAAATGCAAGCTGGATTCAGAAGAGGACGTGGAATGAGGGATACCATTGCTAATGTTAGATGGATCTTGCCTCAAAGCAAAGAATACCAGAAAGATGTTCACTTGTGTTTTATTGACTATACAAAAGCATTCAACTGTGTAGGTTATAACAAATTGTGGACAACATTGAGAAGAATGGGGATTCTGGAACACTTAATTGTGCTCATGAAGAACCTGTACATAGATCAGGAGGCTGTTGTTTGAACAGAACAAGGGGATACTGCATAGGTCAAAATCAAAAGGGAGTGCATCAGGGTTGTATCCTTTCCCCATACTTATTCAGTCTGTATGCTGAGCCAGAATTACGAGGAGCTGGACTATATGAAGAAGAACGTGGCATCAGGATTGGAGGAAGGCTCATTAACAAAATGTGATACGCAGACAACACAACTTTGCTCAATGAAAGTGAGGATGACTTGAAACACTCACTGATGAAGACTGAAGACTACAGTCTGCAGTATGGTTTACACCTCAATATAAAGAAAACAAAAATCCTCACAACAGGACCAATAAGCAGTATCATGATAAATGGAGAAAAGATTGAAGTTGTCAAAGACTTCGTATTACTTGGCTCTACATTCAACAACAATGGAAGCAGCAGTCAGGATATCAGACATCATTTG